TTTCGATATCTTCATTTTCTGGTTCTGCCTGTTCTTTAAGGGGTTCTGGAGACGACGATCTCTCCAGTATGTCGTACAAGCTGCCGGTTCGAACAACCTCATATGGATCGCTTGTATCCCGGGCAGGTCCACTTTGCCTCCCTCTGTCCGATGGTCGCTTTTGACGCCTCTGGCCTGGTGCCGAGCCACCCAACTCCTTACTCCCTGGTGATGATGTCTGTTTCAGTACGCTTTCTTCGCTCTCCGTTCGTGAAATGGGATCATCCATTACTTCCTCCAGGAGCTTTTTAGCGTCTACGCATCCGTTCCCGATGAAATCCAGCAATATTTGAATCGCGTAGGAATCTCGCTGCCACGCATCTACAACGAGGGCGTGCCGCAGAGTATCACTCAGATCATTCATTCTCTTTGCTCCGTAGCGCAGTATGCATTGACGTCGTTGCTCAGCTTGCTCAGCTTGCTCCTTGTCCAGTGATGCTTGTATTGTTTTTTGCATAGTGCTTTTGTCTTTGGAATCATCACCTCGTGCAGCTTTGGCTTGAGCATCTTCGTCAACAAAGATTAGAACTGCGGCTGCATCTTCACAACCCCATCGAGCAAAGTTTTGTAATAGACGGATGGCCCACACGTTCTTGGATACCCATTCTGTATCAGACAAGAATCCACGCAACAAATGATGGGTTGACAGTAATGATCTGGGCTCTGCCATTATCGAATCGTTCATGTTCACAGCAGCTGGTGAAGCAGTATCTACCACAGTTCTACGGACTTCCTTAATCAAGGCCTGTCTGGTATCTATCGCGGTTCGTGGTTGTCTGATATCTGTAGACGCCTCGTTTGTAGTTAGGTCGGGAAGGTTTTTGTTTTTGCTGGGCGGCAGTGACGCCTGCTCGTTGTTTTCTTGGGGCGACTCACCAGGTACCAGGTCAGGAAGATGACCATCATCATCGCTGAGAGACGAGGTTTGTGTGCGAGTCTGACTTGGAGGATCGTCTACTACTGTGGCAGACAGGTCATTTCCATTCTTCGGAGGTGACAATATCCGCCCATTTTCTCCTTGAACTGAGAAGAACGAGGCCAGGTCAGGAGTAGCATCAGCATCAGCATCATCTTCGTCCGCCACCTCAGCTACGTGCTTGTTGCTCTCTCGGCTCGCTTTTTCGTTGCAATCGACTTGATCTGGGGTCATGACTGGCGAAGCGCCCGGCCTAAACTTCTCATGTTGCTTGACACTGACACTGCAAGGCTCCACTGGTGGCGATCCAGGTCGATCAGCTTCTTCTTCTCGTTCTACTTCTGGCCATTCAAAGTTTGCATCAAACCCAATGGTCTCCGGTTCGATGATTGCAGGAACATAGCCAGCTCGATAACGAACTGCTTGCTGCCACGGAATGTCTCGACTCGGGTGTCTGCTATAGTCCAAACGTCGGGCTTCTTGTCGAGATTCGACGGGAATAGCAGATAGTAATCGTGTAGACTCGTCATCGCCAATGTTGCCCAGCTCTATGAGATGTCCTATGTCCCAATAATGATTTGACCTTGCTCGATGAATAATGCTGTTCCTTTGTCTCGTGGTAAGATCGGACAGTCTTTGGACATGCCCGAGGTAGAATGGATGGGAATTGTGGCCATGACCTACTGCAGCTGCAGTAGGTGTAGCGATATCTGTTGTGGGACTTCCCGATGTTTCTTGAGGAGGACCTGCGTGTTCTGTGCCAGTCTGCTTTGCTTGAGTAGTATTTGAAGTGATTTCCCCGTTCTGTTGGTGCTCATCCATAGGAGTTTCGCTCTGGAAGCAGCATTTCCTTACAAAATTCTCCGCTTCTGTATCTCCATTCTCAGCCATGTTCATTAGCATCTGGAAAGCTTCTCGATCTCCTTCTACTGCGGCTTTCTTCAAGATCTTCACATCATCTTCGGTCAAGTCACTAAGTCTCTGAGCGCCAGAACGAAGTATGTAGTCTAAAAGACGATTCATGCTCGAATATGTGTAGCGTACAGACTTTGAAAAGTTTGAGTGCAGTAACATTCGATGATTGAATCAGATCTTTAGGTAATATGTAAAATGCGGTGGATGACACAAGGTTTAAACCGTGTCTCATTTGTCAAAGAGACTTCTAGACAATCAGTAATATGTTTTTCCTTCATGCACAAAGCGATTTGTTAAGACATGATGCAGTTTTCTTAACTTATCTGTACTGAGTCAATCTGGCTAGGAGAAGTAGAAAGCGGGAAAAAGAAGGATGGTACTTGTCAAGTTTTTGGAAATGTTCAAGATGCTTCCCTAGGACGATCAAGCTCTGTCTGCACTCGTAGCTTCATGTCCTACAGGCCTGCTAGAAGCTAGACCTTACTATCCTGAACTGGACGATCATATCAAACCTACGTAGGTCGTCAAATTCGCCATGTTCATATGTTCGGCGCTCTGGAAGCACAAAAGGTCATATCTCGGAGCAATGAGTATATCTGAACAACGTCCATTCTGGAAGTATCACCCCTGACTCCCCATATCCTCCCCCAAATTCCCACCCGCCCTCTTCATCAGCTCCACAAACCTTTCCACGCCCTTACTGTCAGCAAACTCAAACACCCCATCCAACAACCCCTCTTCCCCCATCGTGAAAACAACGACATACTCCCCCACATGCACCCATCCTTCCTCGCTCAACCTATCATCCATAACTGCATCTTTGAATTGCGCCTGACCGGTGGCATGGATAACGACTTTGTTTTCGGAGTCGCCACAGTCTATGAGGGTTCTGATGGTGATGGGATAGGCTTCTAGTAGGGGGCGGAGTTTGCTCATGTGGGTGGACCAGGTTGGCAAGGTCATTGGTGGGGGGAGGAATGCTGATACGGGGGCGAAGGTGTACTTGAATTTGGGCGATACAAGGGAGGATATTGTGTCGAATTCGAGCTTGCTGAATGCTTCGATGAATTTGTGGACTGTGGCGGCGCGGGAGGAAGACATTGTAAGTCGATAGAGCGTGTTCGTGCTTTGACCGATTGGGATAGGGAGTTCAAATGCGATCCCCCAATATCTTTTCGAGAAGCAATTGGCCTGGATGAATAAGAGTGACTGCCTACATGAACAGATTCGAGAAGTTTTAGCAGACCTTATATGGTTGTTGTATTGTACAGCAGATAGCATATTTGACGGAGTCGGCTGAACTGAACGACCCGGATCGGGGTGAACTGCCCGAATCGGCCACACTCAGTAAACGGAGTGACTTTTACGCCGTAGCTTTAGCAGCAGGTGAGAGTTCCATTGGTTTAACTGTTTGGACGTGCCTGACCGAATTAAGGCTCGCCTCGCAGGTGCACATGGAGTCTATGAAGCGGTAAATCTGCTGTAAATGCGATAGATCCGAGATGGTGACATGGAGATTAGAAAAGAGAGGGAGAAAGCAATTCCTACTCAACAGTCTCTTATACATCTAGAAGACACTGCACAAGCAACCCAACTTTCTTTCTCTCCTTAGCCCTTCCCTAAGCTCTTGCATAGTGATAACCTTTTCCAACTTCTTGACTCCAAACCAGTTTGGTCTATAGGTTTGGCTTATACACGAAGAAGATGAGTAACAAACGTATCTCACTCTTCCTTCTCCCCTTCACCACCATCAACCCAAACATAATCATCCTCGATATCATCCTTCACCTCTCCACCAGGAGTATTATCGCTCACTGTTCACAATTAGTACCAGCAACCCCAATCTCAAATCAGGTCAGGGTGAACAACTACATGTCCATTCACTACTATCAGTTGTCCAGACTTCGTAAGCTACGTCTGCTGGCGCTTCGATTCTATCGCCTTGATCACTTGGGCGGACTTCACAAGCTTCTTCTGCTTCTGCTTCTGCTTCGATTCCCTCTGCTTTATCACTTGTTCGGAATTCAGAAGCAAGCTCTGCTTCCACGTCACGTTTCTCATGCTTGATATTCTTCCGCCGCTCTTGCTCGATCCAGGCTACGGAGTAAGAATCCTCTACCTCTTGAAGGGAGGAAAGACGTTCTTTCGCGGTGGCCATTGCAATAGAAACGATACTCTGCGAATCTGTGACTGCACAGCCAAGTTTGTAGATATGGAACTGGAGGGCAAAATCGCTCATGTTGAGTATATCCACGTTGAGTAGACCCTCAACCTTGTTCCATTGATTGGCAGACGATGCTTCAGCCTCAAGGCTCATCTTCGCCTTCTTAAAAACGTGACCATCAGTTGTTGGATTACTGCTCATCCTAAGGTTCTCTCTGATGCGTTTATTGTGTTCGTCCTCCCGCCTCACCAATTCCATCCTCAATGACGCCCTCATCATCCCCAGAACCTCTGACTGACTTGCATCGGGTTGAATTGGGTCAGAAAAAATCGTATCGATCTTTCTCATACGTTGGATGATGCCTAAGTCGCTAAGACATTGAAAGTTTCTCGCACTATATGCCGGAGCTTCGTCCTTGAGTGATTCTTGCACTGGCGATTGTGGTGTTGGCTCATCGATGGGGATAAATGGTTCGGGTAGACTGATCTTTTCGATCTCTAGTGGTGACTCGAGACCGACGAGACGGAGCATGGTTATTGATGTTATTGCTGTATGCGTTGGAAAATAAACGTTGTATTTGATTTCTGTTTGCGTGTTGTTGTGGACTTGTAGAGATGTGCCCAGGGAAGTTTGTTTTCCTCACACATTTGGGCGCTCCTTCTCCCAGAATCTCTGGAGCTCGATAAGGACAGTAGAAACCAGAGTAGGCATGACTTAGCCCTAGTCATGAAGTAAGAGACGATAATACCTAGGGAAGGCGACATTGAGAAAACTTTAGAACTGAGAAAATAATACCGGTTACCCTTGCGACCAGGAGTAGCCTGTAACATGCTTCGGATGGTATCAACTAATAGCAAATAACTTCCATCTCAATGCACGGGCCTAACAATTTCCTCTTTCGTTTTCGCAGCGGCAGACTTGTTTTTGTATATAGAGTGACCCAAGCATTTTTTCGTCAAAAATTCAGGGCTTGTGGTTTAGGGGTATAATTTCTTCTTAGCATGGAGAAGGTCCCGTAAGTTCGAATCCCGCTGTAACCAAAAAAGAGTAATTACTAACATCTTGAAGGGGTTCGAATCCCGGCGAGTCCACTGACAATTTTTTTTGGCTGTTCTAAATAGCATTTAAGCTGACTTGCTATTCAGGTGTCCATGTAATTTTAGTGGGGTAGAAGGCTGGGGGGAGGATGGAGGGTAGGGGCGATCGCGCAGTTACAAGATTGTAGGTAATTGATACAGTTTATGCTACATAATTTTTATTGTTAGCCTTGAATTGGGACTCCTTACGCTGCAGTCAATTCTTTCGGCTGCACGCCACCATTACTCTTGAACTCGCCATTCAAACTGAAGCCTGGTGCATTCGTCGAACTCAACACCACCTCATGCAACTCCTTATTCATCCTATCACTCATAGCGGCCATATCCTTCTTCAACATATCCACAAAAGCCTTGATATTCTTTTGCAGCATATCCGGTGTGAACCCCAACTGTCCAATCGCTAATCTCACCACACCCATTCGTTCCCGGTATTCGCTTCCACCAGTTAAATCTTTTACAGCTGAAGTGACATCTTTGACTACTGATCCCATCTTTGCTGATGGCATGAGACCTCTTGGTCCTAGTATTCGCGCCACCCCTGATTTCGCGAGTTTAGGTAGGGAATCGACGTGGCAGATGCATCTGTCGAATTCTATACGTCCTTCCTTTACGGCGTCGAATATGACATCTTCACCGATGAGGACTGCACCAGCCTGTTTGGCTTGCGTTGCTGCTTTTGAATCCGGAGGGCAGATTACGCATATTCGTATATCAGTTTTGACGGGATGTGGCAGTCGTAATCGGTTTCGGACGACAGGACCGTTTTTGAGTGTTCTGAGTTTGACATGGAGTTCGTATTTTGGGTTGCGTTGGGAGCCCACTTCGAATGCTCGAATGTATCTGTCTTGGTATAAGTATAACAAAGGGGTGTCAATTCTCAACTCCACAGACTTACCGCATGGCATCACATAAAGCGAATTGCTCCATATCCTTCAAATCGTGATTCACAAAAGTGCTTCGCTGTTTCTTCTTTTTTTGCGCTGTTGACAATTCTTTACGTTTATACTTTGCGGCATTGGCGCTGTTGGAGCCAGTCAATACAGCGGCGTTTCTTGTCTGTTGAGTGATGGGTGATGCTCGAAGACATTGACTTGGCGGTCGAAATGATGATGAAACCGATCCCCTGCTCCATTGAATGATACAGTTTCTCGTGGAAGCCATGGTGAATGTCGATGCGGAGTCGAGACGGAGGTGATCCTACTAGATACAGATCGGTGGAAATCGACTGGATGCCTCAGGCATTAATACTTCACGCCACACTGTGAATTCGACCTCCTCTGACTCTTTTGGTGACTAACATTTTCACTCGGAGGAGAGTAGGTATAAAAGATTGGGAGCAGTCAATTTTGTCCTGAGTCTCTAAATACCGCAATCATGGCTGCCGCAATCAAAGAGTGGCAAGATCGAGCCACAAAATTCAGCACAAAAGACCGAAAAGCATTGGAGGCCGCCTTCACCGAATTGGATGCCCATCTAACTCTTCGATCCTACATTGTAGGATATAGTGTCACAGAGGCTGATATCAATCTTTGGAAAACTATCCGTGAAAACCACATTGCTGGCTCTTTCGTCAAGCAAGGTCTACTTGTCAACGCTGCACGGTGGTACAAATTCATTGAGGAGACAAATCCAGAGTTAGCCACTGCTTCTACTCGTCCAGCAAAGGAGAAGGCTGCCAAGGATGCTCAAGGTGCTGATGAGAAGAAGAAGGATGATGGTGGTGGAAATTTTGAGATTGGATTGCAGGAGGTCAAGGGTCAGGTAGTCACGAGGTTTCCTCCAGAGCCATCGTAAGTAATCTCGATTGCCTCATTTGCATTTGGATTCTGATAGTTCGCCTAGTGGATATCTTCATATCGGCCATGCTAAGGCCGCTGTTATCAACGACTACTTCGCTCACGAGAAGTATCCTGGAAAGCTGATCCTACGCTTCGATGACACCAATCCCGCAAAGGAGAAGCAGGAGTTCCAAGATGCCATCGTCGAGGACTTGGCTCTCATGGGTATCAAGCCTGATCAAGTCTCACATACCAGTGATTGGTTCCAAAAGCTTTACGAGTACTGTGTACAGATGCTGGAGGAGGGCACCGCCTATGCCGATGATACCGAGCAAGACGTCATGCGCAAGAATCGCATGGACGGTGTTGCGTCCGACCGACGAGACGCCACCATCGAGGAGAATCTCAAGCACTTCGAGGAGATGAAAGCAGGTACTACTGAGGGATTACGCTGGTGTATCCGTGCGAAGATGTCGGTAGATGACCCAAACAAGGCTATGCGTGATCCAGTCATCTACCGATGCAATCCCAAAGAGCATCATCGCACAGGAGCGACATGGAAGATCTATCCTACTTACGATTTCTGCTGTCCCATTGTTGACGCACTCGAAGGTGTAACTCATGCCCTCAGAACGACAGAGTACAAAGACCGCGATGCACAATACCAGTGGTTCATTAAAACACTCAAACTACGCGACGTCCACAACTGGGATTTTGCACGCATGAACTTCATCCGCACACTCCTATCTAAACGAAAACTCACCAAGTTCGTTGACTCGGGCTTAGTATGGGGTTGGGACGACCCACGCATGCCCACCGTCCGTGGTGTCCGGCGCCGCGGCTGCACAATTGGTGCCCTCCGCGAATTTATCCTTCGTCAAGGCCCCTCCAAGAACATAGTCAACCTAGACTGGACGACCTTCTGGGCCACCAACAAGAAATACATAGACCCAATTGCCAAACGATACACGGCCATCGAATCTAAAGATAAAGTCACCGTAACTGTTGTTGGTGCACGCGCAGCACCTTACTCTGAGCTAAAACCAGTGCACGCCAAAAATACGGAGCTCGGCACCAAAAAAGTCGTCTACAGTGGTAATATCATCATCGACCAAGCGGACGCCGCGTCTTTCGCTCAAGACGAAGAAATAACACTCATGAACTGGGGCAACGCCTTCGTGCGCAAAATAAGCCACTCCCTAAACCCCCTCCATCTCTCCCTAATCACATCTCTCGAACTAGAACTCCACCTCCAAGGCGACGTCAAAAAGACATCCAAAAAGATCACTTGGCTATCTACAGATCAGGAACTCGTCAAAGTAGAACTTGTGGATTTCGATTACTTGATTACAAAGAATAAACTCGAGGAAGAGGATAATTATGAGGATTTCTTGACGCCGAAGACGGAGTTTAGGGTTGAGGCTGTTGGTGATGAGAATGTAGCTGGATTGAATGTGGATGATGTTATTCAATTTGATAGGAAGGGGTATTATCGGGTCGATAGGGCGTTTAAGCATGGGGAACCGGCGGTGTTAATTGCGATTCCTACGGGGAAGACTGGGGCGCCCACCAAGCAGTGACGGCCAAGGAGTAGAATGCGCTGGAACGGCGGATTTGTCGTCGCTCTGGGTAGTTCCATCCTTTGTGCAGCCCTATCCATTGTGCTGGCATCTCTGTGGAGATGGTAACATTGGCGTATTTTGTAGTCCCTAAGACCTCAAAATTTCTTAGAAGGACAAGAATCAATGCTTTTTGAACTCCCGACTTCCTTATCATGGAAGTAGTCCAAAGTTTCCCGATAATGGATGTCCAAGTCGCATCCATTTCCAAATGACAGTTTGAGCAGGTACAGTACACCACGTGAGTTGAAGGTATTTCCTTTTCCGGACATTATGGTGAATGGGTCTTTTATTTTCTCCTGTATCTCCCTACTGTTTTCTGGCCCGACAATTCCAGGGAATATACCACAACCAATCTACAATGATCAGAAAATTGGTGAAACAGAGTGTTCGTAGTTCTTACAGGGCTCTTTCGCTACTTTCCTCGGCAAGTGTTGACCTCGTAGCGACCTGATATACCATTAAGACAGCTAACCATACCCCAGCAAGATGTACACATTCTCCGGATTGGCTAAACCGAACTTTGTGCAAATAAATTTCCATATGCGAAAATACCGTTTGCCCAACCCGGTTCTGTAACATATTGATAGAGTTAAAACGGTAGAGCTGAGAAAGACAATATGAGAAACCTTCAAATCTTTCTGGTTCACACTCTTGCAAGTGCCTCGAGTTGATTCCCCATTTACACTCGTTTTTTTGTTTTCTTGCTTGAACCACTCTCGTTAAGAAAATGCATTCCTTCCAGGCTACCCACCTAACCATTCTCTCCCTAATCCCCACCCTCATCTCCGCCGCACCCTCCACCATCGGCGCCGCCGTAACTCTCTCTTCCGGTCCCGTCGTCCAAGGCCACGCCTCAAGCTGGCAACCCACCGTTTCCGAATACCTCGGGATCCCCTACGCAGAACCCCCGATCGGCCCCTTACGATTCGCAGCACCAAAACCCTACAACGGTAGCGGTACCATTGTCGCATCAAAGTTCTCCCCAGATTGCCCTGCGAATGTTGCGAATTTCTCGAATGCTACGGTTTTGAATTCGCCGAAGGGGATTATTCTTGCAACTTTGGGACAGTATGGTAGAACCTTGGATGTTGATGAGGATTGCTTGAGTGTTAATGTTTGGACTAAGCCCGGGAGTGGGGAGAAAGCTAAGGCTGTTATGCTTTGGGTTTATGTGAGTGGATTCTGGATTTCGTTGACTAGGATTGTTGCTGACGCGATTTGAAGGGTGGCGGATTTGCTATTGGGTATACTGCTTCTCCAACATATGATGGCGCCAGGTTGGCCGCGGAACAAGATGTCGTGGTAGTTAGCATGAACTATCGTTTGAATATTCTGGGGTTCCCCGGTGCGCCAGGCTTGCCAGACCAGAACCTGGGCCTCCTCGATCAGCGTTTGGCGGTTGAATGGGTGCGAGACAATATTGCCGCATTTGGAGGTGATCCGAAACGCATTACACTATTTGGTGAATCAGCTGGAGGTGCTAGCGTGGATATGTATTCTTATGGTAAGGGAAATTGGGAAATATGCTGATTTTTGACTGCTA